GATTCAGATAGCTTTACTGAGAATCAAGCAGTCTTTTTGGAAAGAGTAGCTTTACAAAATGTTCTTAAGTCAAAATTTCCAGAAAGGGGTAAACAACATTAGTAAAAAGTTGTTTAGACAGTGGATGGAGGGCCAAAAACAGAAAGCCAAGAAATCTCTATATATTGTTTAGGCAATGTGACGCCACTAAAAGTTCTAGCGTAAGAGGAGTAATATTGATACTTAAATTAAACAAGTAAAACAAAACACAAACTCCTTTTAAAGACTAAGAGTTACCATATACCAAACTACAAGAACTAGAAAGTATTAAAATTTGGAAAACAAATGGTATATGCTTGTGTGTTTGAACTATTTACTTTGCTAAGAGTAACTACGAGTTGACAGTAATTAAAACTGAAAATGTTTACTGATAATAGAGTTAAACAGAATATTTCGGAATTCTTGTTTGTTCACTCTAGGAACAGTATTTCCTCCCAGTGAATATGCTGCCATCATAAATATACCTCCTGAATCAGAATAACACTAATTTTATCTTTGAATTCTATCACTGATTTCTGGGGGAAATTTTTACCTTAAGATTATTCATATTTCCTATCTGTTATAGTGATCACAGTTTATAAAATTGCAAGATGCTTCAACTTAACATGCAAACACAAATCTAATATTCTATTAAAACTATAGACTTTTAGGAGATCTGTTTACTTTAGTCTTATAATGCTTTCTTAAACTGGCTTTAGAGAAGATAAATCTGAGAAAAATTGCTTTTTTACCTGTTTCTCTTCAATAAGAAAACTTAATGTAGTATTCATATAACAAATAATTAATCAATATTCTTGCCTTTATGCAAAAATATTCTCTTCTGGTAACAGCATGCTTCAGATAAGCTCAGAGCTTAAAAATACATTTTAAACGGATTTTCATAAAACAAAACAAAATCAAATTTAATTTAAAGACTTCTCAGTATTAACCACAAAAAGGAAGTTTAAAATAATTCTAACCTATTCTTTTCAAGGGGACCATAACATAGGATTTGATATTTTAAAAGAAATGTTTGTGGATTTTTAGTCTACCTGAAGAAAGTCTTCATGCTAAAGGCACCAATAAAACAAAACAAAAAGCTAGCCATCTTTTTTATGTTATATTAAAACACAAAAGAGCAAAATTAGGAAATAAAACACATACACAAGAAAAAGGAAGGAAGGAATTCATTATACTAAAAGGAAATACAAGATCCGAGTGAAGACAGCCAGGGAGGCTTAGAATGAGCATGATGCATCATCACTTCCCAAGTAGGGATCACAGTGCCCTTGCAACAAGGAGCCAGACTGTAATCAGTGCGTTACACTCATCAGTTGGTAGTTCACATACGAATTACCTATCTCGTAACTCCAAAAGCTATGCTTAAAAATGTACAGCTCATTTGAAATATCAAATTTATCACAAATGGTATTTAATAAGCAACCTCATGTGTATTACAATACTCTCAGTGGGAAAATCATCCAGACAGCTAAGGAAAGAGTGTTATTTTGTTTTACAGAGAAACATTTAGATAATAGAGTATCTACATTCTAAAATATGTTTCAATTCTACATGAAGTCATTGTTTTCTAATAGTAAAGACTTGTCCTGTGCTTAAAAGCATGTGTCAGTTGGTGAAAGGTACAATTAAAGGCAGGAAGTAAAGCAAGGAATACTGGTCTCATTAATACCTTGGCTATTTCAGAGCCAGGAAAATTAAGTCCTAAGCTCCTATCTAACCTCACTGTGCTGGATATAGCTGATAGCACTCAGTATCTATCCTCCCAACTTAGTGTGTTTACAGCCTATAAAACCTGGAAAGTTAGAAACTACATTGTCCATGCCCCCTTTCAGCTATGCTTCTAGATGTAATACAGATTTCTTCAATCAGATGTACTTACATAAGATTTGAAAAGTAATATTAGATGGTCATTCTCCTGCTTTGGATGTTTCTGTTACAAGCACCACTGTAAAAATGTGGTGTTTTTCTGCTGTAGTGTCCAGCGTCCACACTCTAGCTTTGTAGGAGTTTAAGTGAAGGACTCCTGATCCCTTGTTTACAATAATAGTATCAAGAACTGGATCTTAAAAATTCTTGATCCCAATAGTTCCAATGGCTGTGAAAATAATAATAGCTCTCTTGACCTAGATATCTAGCATATTCTATGGTGAGCTAATAGTCATTCCAAGAGGTACAGCATACAGACTGGTCCTCCAGCCCATCCAACAATTTTAGTAATCCTGTAATGCCCTATAATTATCCTTTTTCTGCTTGAAAAACTTTAAGAGCAGTGTCTGTATTCTGCACTGAACTTTGGTAACACTATGAAATAAAAGAGGGATGACGCTATATGAAAACAGAAAGAAAAATGTCTTGTAACATGACCAATGGCCAGCACAAATTTTACTAACATCTAGCTGGTGAGAAGTACACAAAAATCTTTGAGGAGTTTGAATTAAATGAGTTCTTCAAGTTCCTCCTAACTCCATAACTGTATATTCCAATCCCCAATCTAAATCAATACTCCTGTTGGTTATAATACAAGTATAAAGAAAACCAAACCAGGTGCCATTGAATCGATTCTGACTCACGACGACTCCATGTGTGTCAGAGCAGAACTGTGCTCCATAAGGTTTTTAATGGCTGATTTTTGTGAAGTAGATTCTCAGGCCCTTCTTGTGAACTACCTCTGAGTAGATTCAAACTGCCAACCTCAGCAACGGAGCATGTTAACCATTTGCATGACACGGAGACTCCATAATACTAGTATAAAATGACAAAAACAACTATTTCAGTGCTCTGGAAATCACATGAAGGCATACAACAACTTGAGAAGCATTTATGCTTGAAAAACTGAAGTAGGGAAAAGGACGGTGGGGAATATGCGGTATTCTAGCCTGAAGCAGCTCCCATCCACAGGCTACCACGC